AAAAAAGGGACAAAGCCTGTATTTATTGCTACTCAGGATTATGTTGGGTATCGATTTTTGCATCGCTGTAAAAAAAAAAGGTTTTTATGACCCGGTTGAACCCGTATCCAAACGTTTGCTCTCTCTTCTAAATTGGAACTGATTAAGGAGTCGTGGAACCAAAGTTGACAATTGTATTATTGAAAATACCGTATGTTTTAAATAATGATTTTAATTCCTTCACTCTCTCATCAGGCTTGCTCACATACATCAACTGTGCCAGCACAAAAGCAGCAACTCGTGTCCAAGACATTTTCTCATTTGCCAAGGTCGGGGCACTGATCGTCATCATTATTGCTGGTGTATTTCACATGGCACAAGGTCAGCATTTTCCCTCTCATACTTTGATTTAAACAATCCATGTGTGTTTTTTTGAAGAGAGAATATTTTAATCAAACGTCTTGGTTTTCAAATTATCGTATGAATCTCACAGTTCAAAATGAAGTGCAGTACTGAACTGCTGATAGATAACCTGCCAAGGAAATTCCAAAGCAAATGAGCGGATGCAGAAAATATGGGTACCTTTAAATGTCGCGAGGTGTGAGAAAATATTTTGTACGTCCTTCTCGTTTTTTTTTTAATCCTGTTTTTTTGTGATAATTGTAGCTGCTTGGATACCACACAATCATTGAGTTTTGAGATTGGCAACAATAACTATGCATTTTGATAAACCCGGGACGATTGAGAATTTCTTTTTTTTTGTGCATCTGACTGGACTAAATTTGTGACTTCAGTCAAAAATAATAAATGGCACACAGATAAATGAATATGAGTCTCATATAGACCACGGAAAGAATAAACGATTGGAAATTTCTTCTTTTTCTTCGTGAATCTTTCTGATCTAAATGATCGTGTCTTTAGTCAAAACTTAATTGCTCGCAAAAATAATTGGAGGGGTCCATTCCGATACAGACACGAGTCATCGGATGCGCCCATCGAACCAAATCTCCGCCTTGCAATGGTCCGTTTCTTCCTCTATCTTTTTTTAATGCGTAACAACAGCAACACATTCTTCCTTCTTTCTTTCTTTCATTCTTGACCTTCACGAAATAATAGGAAAAAAAAGATAAATTCCTTCAAGCTCCTTTCCTGCATTAATGGTCCTTACGTTCTGCTTCCGTTGGTCGTTCACTCGTCCGTTTCCTCCAACAATTCTAAAGGAAGTATCTCGTCCGTGGACGAATTTCTGCTCGAAACCGTGTTGAAAAGAAATCCCCGGGAAAAACTAAATTACTTTTTTCCCTCGTGAGAAAAAAAAAATGAGGAAATTGCTGATGTACAGTAAAACCTCTCATTAACCGTGCTAATGACCGAGTGCCATTGTCCGGAAAATTTAGCGTCATGCGCACGCGTTATTAAATAATGTATTGGAAAATATTTCTCAGCATTTAAATACGAACTCGAGTTTGTCTGAAATTCCACTTTGATTTCCTGGTACCGTATTGTGTTTTTAACCCAAATAATCAGGTTAATTAAAGGGAAGATAAGCACCTGAAGTGAAACATTCATCAAATTTTGAACGGATCCCAAAAAATAAAGAAAAAATAAATTTCTGAATACCATCGCTCCAAGTGGTTCTTATACTTGATTCATCTTGCCAAGAGATAAGAGCTTCAAAATCGTGTATTCAGATTATTTTCTGTCATGATCTGAAGTTGCATGAACCGAGTTGATGCAAATTTAGTGGCTAGAAGCTGTCATGATTGTAGCTACAGATCGATCTGACATTGATGATGATCAAATTTAGTCCTCATTATTCCCCTGAATTTGGTCTGTAAACACGATTTTTTTGATTATCTTTCATCAATCATTGCGCCTTCCATTTTTGGTAGCATTAAATCGTCTGGGGAAATAGCGTAGACATTTCTAGGACTTCTGGTACTGGTTTGACGTGCGAAGATTAATTGGGCGGTTGGGATTCTTCAAACGGTAGATAAAGTATGACTCATTCAAAAATTATCACATAATGAAGGGGAATCGTGATTGGTATGAAAAAAGACAAAAAAATAGGGACTCAGCAATTGAAAATCATTCCACGACAGTTACTTAAATTAGGATCAAGAATTCCTGTATATGTTTTGTGTTATACAGTACTTGAAAGCCTGTACGTCTTAGTTGAATGCCGTTTTTTCATATACAGTATATATTTTTTCAAGCCCTCTTAGTCATTCAGGCTCGAGGAAGTCAAGCATTAGAGGATCCACTTTAAAAGTGGATGATGATTATGGCTTGTCATGAGACGAGTTTTTCTTCATTTTTCATTGCACTTGAGACGTCAAAAAATGAGGAGACGCCGTCTCATTTTCTTTCCGGGGCAGACGATGTTAATTTCATTTTATTTTAAAGAGCATATTCCGTTTTTTTGGCGGAATAAAGATTAGATAGGACCACGAATTCGTCGATTTTTGCAATTAAATGTGTAATTTACGGAGTGTATCAGAAAAAAATTGAACGTGTCGTCGATCTGCGATGTTCCAGAGATATTTAAACTAAGCGGTCTAAAATCGCGGAAAATTTAAGCTCGTGTAATGTTCTTCCTGATTTTTATAAATTTTGACACCTTCAATTCCGAATGGTGTCAATTATGAATTGTATAGAGTAACCGCAAACACGCGCATTCGAATAAATTAAACTGCAATAAATCTTTTTGCGCGTTTTAATAAGTTCGTCGACGCAGTTTTTTCCAAATGCTGTTTCTATGTAAATTTTAGAATTTTTAGAATGGGATTATTTCTGCCAGTCTGATAAGCTTTAAAAGTTCTTCTTTGACTCATGGAAGGCTATCGAAGCGAAAAATGAAAACGTCAGTCATTTTCGAACTGTCAAATGCAGCTTAAAGCCGTTATTTTATGGTACACCTTGTACTTGTTCAAACTGGAGCTAAATATAAATGCAGCATCTTTAAAAATACCGGTTTTGACGAGGTCGATTTGTTTGACGGACATTAGTTAAAGCATGAATGATCGAGATGAATATTTTTGCTTCGTAACTATATCGAATTTGGAAAGGAGAAGGCGTCCATTATGCAAAGAGAAAATCATTCAATATATATACAGTATAAAAAAAAATTCATTTCCAACTGATTACCAGACGATTCCGATTAGCGATTCAAGGATTAATGCAAAAGCAGCTATTCGTGCACATTAATCAGCCCCACCTTGAATGCGGAATTAAATTAGGCTCACAGGAAACATTTTAATTTCTTGATTTTTTCCAAAAAGGTCCGTGATTGCTTAGCTCATGCAAAAAATTCTTCGTCGCTCAGCTTTTTTTTTTAAATATTTAAATCTTATGTCGTCAATGGATCTTTGAAGATAAGAAGCCCTTTTATGATCAATATTTCAATTTCCCGATTCAACGAGGATAAATTTGCTCACGCAGAAAATTTTTCTTCACTCAAATTACGGCTGTAAAAAAATACTTCGCCTGTTTTTGCTGTTGATCCCCCGCAAGCGAATGTTTGGAGATCTGAGGTTTATCATTAAAAAAAAAAAGATAATGTGCTGTCATGTGTGGAACTCGGAACTGTTCAAGCAATTTATTTTTTTGCCTTGCCAGGAAATGTGGAGAACCTGCAGAAACCGTTGATAGGAGATTCCTTCGATGCACGGCCAGACAGTGACCGTGAGATGTTCCCGGAGAAACGAATACGACCAACCTTAAAGGAGTTAATGCAGTGTCGTCTCGAGTTCCTGGGTCTTTTCACTCATAGACGCCCGACTTCTGGCTCTACCTGCAGAACCCCAAATTAAAAACGCTCTTTTATTCCTCCCATATATTTTTTTTTCAAGTGTACAGGGTGGGCCAAAGAAAAAGTGAACCGATTTTTGAATTAACCCTTCTGTGGCAAAGGGGTTTTTCCCCATTGCAGGACCAAGTCAGGATTTTTTCTGGTGGGCTCACATTTCATTTTTTTTTGAAAGCCATGAAATACAAGCCAGGTGGCCTAGGGCAAAGTTGTACTTTTTTTTTTCTGGCAGAAAGATGTTACTAATATTTCCCAAAGTCAGACTTACCCCCACTATATAAACAAACGGAGATTTATCCTTAGGAAGAAGACCGTGACATGTTGCTAAAAGAGACATATTACTTCATCACAAACCAGGGTAGAGGGTACCCCAAGAGAGAGTACGGGTAATGCCCTTAAGGGATCAACGAAATTATCTTTAAAACGAATTTTTTACTTTTCCCTTGAATTTCTCAGTAAGAAAGAGTCCATCTGCATTGAGTGAGCTTCACCCACTCGGTAAATCTAGCCTTGGTGAATTTTTGAAATCTTTGGATTGCCCCATTGAAATTTTATTCCACAGCGTCTTGTTTCAAGCTGTAGATGAGATTAAAGGGGATGAATTCATTAGGCCAGAAAGACTTGAAATCCTCACTCAGATTGATCAAATACTGTAGATAAAAATTTTGTTTACGCTATATTACGATTGAGTTATGATCGAAAGGCATGCCAGATATATCAGGAAATTATTCGATCCGGGACTCGATAATTGACTGATTCCTGTGTGTCCTGTTTTTTCTCAGGAATCTGCCGCGTGCTATATACATCAGCATGCCGTTGGTAACGCTGATCTACATGCTGACAAATTTGGCCTACTTTGCTGTCGTGTCTGATGCCGAGATCAGAGCGTCTCCAGCCACTGCTATCGTGAGCTACTCATTAAATAATATGCAAAAGAGCAGAACATGATGCGTTCATATTCTGATCGCGAAAGATTTCCGGGTTAAATACAAAAAAAGCTAAGAACTAAAAAGGAACGCGAAGCATTTTTCAGATGAATTCTACGCTAAAAAGATTCTGTGCTGTAAAATATACATTTTAAGTGAAAATTTGCTGATGATCAGAGTCTCCCTTTCGTGTGTATGCATCAGCTTGCTTTTTTATTTTTAAATCTCAGCAAGGGATATTTAACTCATGAAAGCTTTTGCTCGGTTTATAATTTTTAATTCATGGACCGTTTATAATTTTACCCATTTTTTTACTTGACAATATATCTTGAAAACTTTTGGGGAACCACGAAAATCAAATTATTCCTTTCAAGTTTGTATCAGCTGGTATTTTTGCCTCAGCACGCGATTTTTACATATCAACGCTTTCACGTGATTTTACATGTTAATTGAGATTCAGTTCATAGTATTTTATATTTTAAATTAACAATTGCTACTTGGGGAAATCCGATCATGAATACTTCGCGTTGATTTAAACCTTTTCGATGGAATCTGTTGTAACAGAAGCCGGCCAGTTTTATTCGACTATTGAGCTGATGGGATTTTAATCATAAGATAACGCAGTAGATCATAAAACATTCAAACGAGGTCTATTTAAATTGTTTTTCACGGTAACAAAAAAAGCAGTTACCTCAGTTCTTCCAAGGGCATGCATTTGCATTAAAGCCTTAAACATAATATAATCAAAGATTTGCGAAAGGTTTCTCTTTTTTAATTTTCACTTTATGGCGTCTGCAAATTCTCCCGTGTCATGAAAAATTGGTTAAAGCAGTGGAAAAAAAAAATCGGGGATTCCGTTTTCCAAGAAACACTCACTTAATCCATGTTGTCTGCCATTTCAGTCATTTGGAGTGCGAATGTTTGGATCCTGGAGTTGGATCATTTCCGTATTCGTGGCTCTGTCAACTTTCGGAGGAGTGAATGGCATGATACTGGTGGCATCTAGACTCTTTTGGGCTGGAGCGCAAGAAAATCAACTGCCCCAGTTCTTTTCCTACATCCATCACCAGAGGGAGACTCCTATCCCCACCATTTTGTTCTCTGTGAGTTAATGAATAGTGATGATTTATTTGATCTTCATGCAGTGGGTTCTTGAATAACGAATAACACTGTGCTGACTAGTGTAATGTTTGTTAGCTGGATCAGATTAATTCCAACACATTATAGAGGAAAATAAATATGAAGTTTTTATCTCTAGTTATTAAATGACGTTTGCTAACTGGATCAGTGTTTGTAAAGTAGTTGTACAGGAACTATATGCAACCAGTCCTTTGTTGTCTGAGTTTTTGTTAGCATAGGAGCATTTGCTGTACTCAAGACCCCACAATATTGCTTATCTGACCCATATTCATGCCTCAAGTGTAAGAATTATGAATTATGAATCATTGAGCATTTAAAATAAGGATGTTTATTCTTATACAGTACTGTATTTAACTTCACTGGCTACTCAAACTACAGACACGTGAGAATACATGGATATGTCTCCTGTATGTGTAACATGTACATGTGTCCTGCATGTGTATGTATCCTGTATTTTTATGCGGATGTATGTGATACATGGATATGCTTCATGCACTTGTTCCGCATAATATTTTAACCCTAATTCTCAGGGTATTTGAAAAAAAAATTTAACAAGTTAAAATCTGTATCTCTCCTGCTACATTTATCAAAAGAGTTGGTGGAATCAATTTTGAATGCGTCCTTATATACAGGTGGTACCTTGAAATGTGACCCTAATCCATTACTGGACTTGGGTCAAGTTGCAAAGCAATTGAATTGCAAGACATTTTGTCAAATTTAGAAATCATCAGCACAAAAATGCAAAAAAAAGTGGTCAAAGCAGGTTGAATTCTGGGTCAGTGGTTGAACTGCAAGTCAACCTCCCTGCAAATTTGACTTTTGAATTGCAGGATGGTCAAATTGTGGGAGGTTGAATTGCAAGGTACCACCTGTATGCTACCATAATTGTTGGGCATGCCACGCCGTTGTTAGAACTTTGTGAAGGTCTATAAATTAATTATTAATATAAGTTGCTCCCAAGAAGAAGTTCAGTAGAATTGAAGGTGTGTGTTAGCTTTTACTCAAAGTTGTTCACAAGCCCCAGGTTGGTAAAGTGGTATTTACTCTTTTGTGAAATACATATTATTCCTCTTTCAACTCAAAAGAATTCCCGGACTGAATCTTTTGTTTTATTTATAAACAACTCAACACCAGCTTATATTGTGGCAAGTTGTGCCCAATAATAATAGGCCTAACAAGAGCACCAAGAGTGTTTGCTGCATGTATGTTGTACAATACTGTGCATGCTTTTGGCTGCAACCCTTCTAAAAAACAACCAACCCCCATCTAACGGACTTGATTCATGAAGTCTGTCAGACAAAAAGTCCCTTAGACAAATTCAGTTATATAAAAAATTAAAAATTTCAATTTTCAACGCTAATTTTAAACTATAAGAAGTCTGTTTTGTAGTTGGACTAAAGAGCTGGTCTGTTAGGCAAAAATCCCTTACATGGGAGGTCTGTTATGCGGGGGCCACTTTATGCAGAAAGAATTGAAATGGGGATAAATGAAAGAAATCAAAATTCCACCATCTAATTTCAGGAAATGTAGATTTTAGCTTTTCATTTCCTGTATTTGCAGCAGTCAGAAAAAAAATCCTCAAGAAAAGTAATCAGCATGATAAATGAGTGACAAGTGATTTTTGTTTTTCTTTCAGTGTATGTTGTCACTCCTGTTGCTGGCAGGCAAAGACATTGGTGCCTTGATCAACTACTTGAGCTTTGTGCTTTGGCTGTCCTGTGGTGCAGCAGTTGCAGGACTTCTGTACTTGAGGAAAACTATGCCAAATGCACCAAGACCAATCAAAGTCAGCCTTGTGTGGCCCTTTTTATTCCTGATTGCTTGTGCCTTCCTGGTTTTCTTTCCTCTGTATGCCTCACCTGGTGACACTGGTGAGTTTTCAAAGGTTATATTTTCAGGTAATACTGCATAAAATATTATTGGTTTAATAAGTTTAATAATGGGGCTGTCATCCTTGTTTGAAGTTTTGTTGGGTGGGTGGTTTTGTTGACCTAATTTTAATAGTGCAGTAATTCAACATTTCTGGACTAAGGTTCCACTGCGTGCACTTACAGACATTTGCAGAAAAGTCCAAAAATGTACAATGCAAGACAATGGTTAAGATACAAAAATTACCTGCAGGTTGAGAGAATTTTCAAAGAATCACAGTAAGAGCTTCAAAATATTTAGATAATTAAAAATACTTCATGTGACTATAATATTACAGTATTGAGAATGAAAATTCCCTATTTTCAAAATGTTCGCAATAGCAAGGCTGAATTCAAAAGTTGCCTGAATTGGAAATTATTTAGCAAACAGTGTTCGAGGTCAGAGATGTGATTGAATTACTACATGTATCCTTAGATAATGATCAGATGGTCGCAGGATGTCATTAATTCCGCAATTACTTGAAGGAATCTGACTCAGAAACTTGGCTGCCAAAATTGTCGTTCCTTTTGAAAAAAATAACGTTTTGAGTCATCCCACGTGATAAGAAGCATTTAACATTTGGTTTTTTAGCTCTGGTCCTTTGGACAAAAGATTTTTTTCCCATACAGAACTAAAACCCGAAATATAATGTCGGTATAGAAATTCTTTAAATTTACTATACCTTTTTATTCATTTCAGGAATGGGTCTCTTGATCATGATGACAGGAGTTCCAGTTTACTTCACGTTCGTTTACAAGCACAGGTTTTCCGAGCGCATATCAAAAAAATTCCGTGAGAAAATCAATTTTTTTCTCTTTCTGTTTTGAGAAAATGTAAAAAATCAACGCACTTTCTTTTGCTTGCCAGAATGGTTCGCAAATTTCCAACAAAAGCTGCTGCTCTTGTTGAAACCGGCGACTGAGGAAGAAATGGTGCCACTGCGAAGCAAAGGTGGTGTCACTGACGACGACGACGACGACGACGAACCCGTGAAATTGGCAAAATCAAACGACGACAGCGACGATTCCAACATAGTAACAAAACGTGTCGTCAATTAATCACGAAGGAAAAAAAAACTCGTTTCTTTTTTTCCTTTCATATCTTGCCCATCTCACCATGATGTTCAGAATTTGAAAACCCTATTTGAGGAAAAATTCCTCTCACCGGAAATTTAGGGGAATTTGTTTTCGAACGATTTTCGACAGGTTTTTCTGCGCTATTTTCTATTTTCAGGGAAGAGAACCTGAAAAAAATTGGCAAGGTTTTGTGCTCGTTCGAATCGCTTGCATGAGTTTATTTAAAATAAAATAAAAACTGGACCAGTTGCAGAGAATCTTAATAATGTAACAACATTCCTAAGAAATATTTCGGATGGCCTTTTAATTGGTAAAATCTCGAAAATTCCCCTTGGAAATTCAAAATACTTTTCAATAAAATAGAAACATCCGCGAATTCCTGGGGATTTAAAAAAATCATCTGGACAAATATTACGAAAGTCTGCTTTGTATCTTATCTAAGTTTAATTCCAACAAAGTATGTTACGGAACAAAGCTTACTTTTTTGTGTTGAAATTTGAAATTTTCATTATCAGGAGAACTGGAATTTTTTAAACCATGAATATTGAATATATTCATGGAAAATACAAATGTACAAAACAGAGCTATTATGTAACATTTCGCTTGATTATAAAAGTTACTTATTGCACATATCGATAATTGCAAAGCAAACCTAACAGCTTGGCAACTAATTTACAAATGAAGCTAGAAATAATATTTACATTTCTTCGATTTTTAATTTACAATCAATTTTCTCCATATATGTCTCGTCTTGTGATAAAAATTTTCAATTAAATGTGGATGAAGTAGCGGGAACATTTTAAACATGAACGCCGAGTTTTAAATTTCTGAAAAATTCTACAAAATTGTTCTCAATTTTTTTTTGCTTGGTTTTGAAGAAATATTTGACCGAACTGTCCCCATATCCTGAGAACAAATTTAGCAATCGTCGTGATTTTCAAGGAGTGAATGCGGTTGAGCCACTCGCTGTTCGATGTTTTGCCTTATTATGTGAGTTTGTGTGGAAAATGGGCTGCATGTTGTTTAAATTGCAGTCCAGTTTGGCTCAAGTATGTTGGCTGCTTTTAGAAACAATGCAAAAACTGAAAATATTCGGAATCCTTTTGTAAGTACCGTGAGTTGCTGTAATATTTGCCTTTCGTTAAATTGCATCAGATTCAATTAACACACCTCATCGTATTTGTCTAACTTTGACAGAAAGATCGTGTTTAACAAATTTTCCGTGTGAACTGACGATGGAAACCTTGGATGTAAAATTAATGAAATAATTTAATAAAAAACCTAGTAATTAAATCACTTGCTTCATGCTCAAGCTCTTGTTTTAGGGTATTCCGTTGTGAGTAGATTGTTGAAGACAAATAATGCCGTAAGATTAGCAATTCATCTGGTTTTTTCTAGTTCGCTATTAATCATCCCGAAAAATATTCAAAGGGAGTTGTTAAAGGGATTTTAAATTAGCTGACGCGAGTATTGAAAACCGGGAGCTTGAATGAAAAGATGATTCAACTTTGTTCTATACAATATTTTCAGAGCTTTTTGCAGCAATATGCTAACGAGTCTGAATGTGCCTCTTCGAGCTTCGCAAGCTTACCAAATATTCAGGGACTAAATGTGAAACGGATTTTACGAAGGAAAGATTTTGCCTGTGAGGAATTTTGCAGATCTATGTTTCTATCCTTTACGAGTGAGGTTATCACAAAATTCAGCAAAGAAACGGCTTGTTCGAGTTGAGCATTTTATTATATAGCTTTGATGCCTGTTCTCCATTTTGTTTTTGGGCCCTAAATACGGGACGAAGCGTGAGACGAAGTTGTTGAATAAAAATTGCCTGAGATGCTTTGAAGAACTTGTCAAATTTCTTTATTTTGAATAAGATAAACGAGGAAGGAAAATGGAAAGCAGTGAATAATGTCACCTCTGCCAAATTTTCGGTTTGAGTCATGCTTTGAATATGCTCTGAAATGTTTAAGATGCTAAAATATTTCATGTCATAGACAATTCCAGGGTATCAAGAATGTGATTCGTATAAATTAATGTTCCATGTTCAGCGAAGTTTTTGTTAAAATGTGCACATGTAATATTTTCCCCGAGTATGGTTCAAAATAAATCGAGAATGAGCAGATAAATTATATTTTTCGAGGATAATTTGAAAAATGACAGCTTGTAATAATTTTTCGCAAGCACACTCGAAAATCGCAAAGGCACTAAATAAAATATGCTTATTAAAGTTTGAGGGAATAATAGAACTTCTAAGAGTCGAAAAGAAAAATATATCTTCTATTTTTCAGATTTTTGATTCTAGATGTCGCTGTATGTCTGGGAACAGCCGGTATTACCGTATTCATACCCATTTAAATCCATTGTCTGGAAATAGAACCTCAGTTTCCAAATAATTGACACCACAATTGAAACGATAAAGCCATGAATCATCACGATTTTTCCATTATGTGCATAGTGATATATTTTTAAAATTCATCCTCTTCAAGAGTATAGGAATCGAACGCCGGTATAAAGAATGAACGCATCGCGTTCATTTCTGATCTCGAAATATAATTTTTTTCTACGAAAGTTCATTGGATGATTTTCTTATTTTTAAGGAAATTTGCCATAGTAGATCGACTTTCTTTTCTGACAGTACTTAATTCGAACATTTTCTTTTTGGCCCTAAACGGGACGGAGCGTGAGACGAACTTGTTGAATAAAAATTGCCTGAGATGCTTTGAAGAACTAGCCGAATTTATTTATTTTGAATACTGTACGATAAATGAGGAAGGAAAATGGAAAGCAGTGAATAATGGCACCTGCTCTGCCAACTTTTCGGTGGGTTTTTTGTCATACTTGTCATACGTGGACATTTAAAGTACTTTTTAAGTCTTTCATGCAACTTTTCGAGGATCACGGCTTCTCTTCTACACACAGTACAGTATATACGACGAAAAGTGAAGACAGCTGCAATATTTGACGCATTTCATGTATTTTTTAAACGGAATTTATACNTCCAGCATTTTGGACGACTTATTTTGAAGTGTAAACCTCGATTGTGAACCAATCGTGAAGCACATTGACACGTTAATTTTTTCGGACTTGAACGAAAAAAAAAATTGACACGCGCATTTTAGGAGAATAAACAAAGAGTAATAAGCGATATTTTATGAATGTCCTTGCTTAGGAGAGTCTTTAAATAATTTATGAGCCAGCCAAAAATCGTTTTGCGCTTATACATAGAAGTAGTATTTTCGATAGTCGGGTTTGAGCTATTAAAAAGATATTGTTTTCATAAATTCTTGATAACCGTGCAAGAAAATGATTTCACTTTTATGATCGCAAAATTATTGTTTGTTGCAGACTGGAAATAATAAAAAATCTTAAGGTTTCTCAGTGATTTTTATCATCATCTGCCTCGTATTTCTTCGGCTAAAATTGTTTTTAGTTGATTTATCTCCAAGAATTTGCTGAAGGTACGAAATTTCCCCGAATGACTGACCCGTGATGCACATCTGCATTTGTTGAAACTTTGAAAATTCATTACCTGCCTTTATCAGAAACACTCGCGATTTATGAAAAAAATGCATGTTACTTGAGAAAATATGCTAATATTCCGGATGCATCACATTCCTTCCCTGCCCAGAAATGTGATTGAGGATTATTTGGTCAACGTCATCAGAAAACCAATTGTAGCAGCTGCGTCATTGCGACATTTTTCCCATTCCACCACCATGACCCATTGTTTCCACTCAAAGGTCGGTGTTCTTACGATTTGACCGTAAATACAAAGTGTGGATCTCACGTCTTCGACACTGACGTGACTGTTTGGTTGACTGCGTATTTTGTACATATTTTTTCATAATTATTTCTTTTGTGTTTATAGGCTATATAATACAGTATAAATAGAATAAAAGCAAGGAGACGTGAGAGTCACCAGGTACATACGTTGTCATTCATGCTTGGAAAGATGATATTTTCGAAAACATAAAGGACGTACTTGGAATCAAAAATTTAAAAAATAAAGTCTAAATTATTTTTGGGACCATCAACACAAGCCTCTGTTCGAAACTTGATGCTTATTATGATCAGCTTATTTTGAATGCCAAGGACAATAGTCAGACAAATGTCTTTATATCAAGTATGAGCAATATTTTCGAGGCAAATCCCGGAGATCAAGGGGTTTATTTTTTTAAATTGCATCTTGCAAAACCAAGCAAAACTAAGAACAGTTTAGTATTTGCAAATAAAAGATTAAAAAGGAATCACAGTTAAAAATAAAGAAGTGAATTAGGAGAAATGTTTAAAGTCTACTGATGCTGTTGGGAAATATCGTTTTCTGCATTTATAAAAATACCGTACATACAATACACTCGCATCTGACATTTTGAATCATTTCTCACGGAAAGTTGAGCATTTTGAAGACAAATTATTGTCGGAACACAGAATGATTTTGATTTTTTTTAGCATCTGTCTTATTTTCCTTCATATTGAACAATACGTCTTCGTTTTGTAGACAGAAAAATAATTTTCAGTCATAAGTGCATTTTTCATGTCATGGTTCTCGTTATTGAGAATTTCAATGCATTCCGTGTAATTCAGAAATTGACTTTAAATCGTTCCTCAGCAGTGCACACTTGAGTGTATTTCCTGATAAATTATCAAATCCAATTTCATCGCGTCTTTTGAAATAAAATCATTACAATTCGTTCCAAGCGTCAATTTTTGATAAATTCCTCATGGTTGAACTGAGATATCGAATGCACAGGAAGAGCGACGAATTGGCAGTATTTGGACCTTGCAAATTTCATACTCGAATTACGGGCAGCGGCATTGGGGGGAAAACCTTTTAAAATTTAGGTCAACGACATGAGAAATATTTTTTTAAAGAAGTTGTAGCAAAAAGAAAAGAAAAGAAAAGAACACACAATATACTGAGCATATATGCATACACTCGGATGCTCACTCTCATCGAGTTGGGAGGAGCACCAGTGAATTAG